GTGTTCAATCCCAAATGGTCCAGGGTGTCCTAGGGCCGAGCAACATGGAGCTAGCCGCCACCCGAGCTCCATCAGCCCCATCCTGTGCTGCTGTCTCTCTTTTGTGTGCTGTTACCAAGCTTCCTGCCGTGTTTGATGCGTGGTCCTTTTTCCTTTTGCAGAGCAATGAGCCCTTAGTTAGACCCTCAGCCTTTAAACCAGTAGTTCCTAAAAACTTCCATTCCATGCAGAACCTCTGCCCGCCGCAGAGCAACGGGGTGACAGAGAACAGAAAGAGCTTGAACCACGCCAACAGCAATAGCCCCTCCGCACCCAAAAGTGGACTCGACAAGAGCAGCCTTAACAGGACTACCAACCAAGTTGGGGGCCTTTCAGATTCCGGCCGTAACTCGTTAACGAGCTTGCCCACCTACGGGACAGGCTACAGCCAGCACGTGGGTCCCATGAGCGCCTCCACGAGCCACATCAACCGCATCGGGACGACCTACGTGGAGAAGAACATGGTGGGCTACAACGGGATATCTACCTCAGACAGCGGGCGGTCTTCGAGCAAGAGCACCTCTTCCTTCAACAGGCTGAACCATCTCAACGAAACGATGCCTTTCCACTCGCCTTCCACCGATGACATCATCCAAGACCTGGAAGATCGGCTGTGGGAGAAGGAGCAAGAGGTCCTCCAGATGAGGAGGAACTTGGACAAGAGCGAGGCGGCCATCTTCCAAGTGTTCGAGGAGAAGCAGAAGATCTGGGAGAGGGAGATGGAAGACCTGAGGCAGAACTATGCCAACAAATTGCAGCAGGTCTCCAAAAAGGCGCAACGGGCTCAGCAGGCCTTGCAGCTCCAAATCTTCAAGCTCCAGCAGGAGAAAAAAAAACTCCAAGATGATATGGGACAACTCCTTCAGCAGCGAGAGGAGCTGGAGAAGAAATTTGTGGCTTTCAAGAAGGAGCAGGCCGAGTTTCTTCCAAAGATTGAGGAGACCAAGTGGGAGGTAAGAGCCTTGTTGTAGCAGACCTTGAGGGAGTTTTTCATTGGGTGCTCTGATAACCCCAAGAGCCCCTCCTTTGCCCCAGGTGGACTCCACAGATAATGGCTATGTGTTGGTGGCCTCCAGGTAGAAGATGACACTTAAGTCACCTCTTCATTTGTCTCAACTGTAGTCAACTCCACCAAAAGGAGCCCAACTTTTTGTGTACACCTCCTGTGCTGGTTAATCATTTGGTTTTCCAGTCAGGTCACTCCAACGTGTGACATTTGACTTCAGTTTCAGTGAATCCAGGTCTTTCCATACAGGTGTTCGTGCCTCCCCAAAATGGATTTAAGTCTAATTTAATTAAATTCTTCTAGATTGAGTTTGGGCCAACTCTGAAACCACTGTTCAAATATTTGATTTTTGTTTTTAATTGAAGATATAAAGCAAGTGAGCCAAGAATGATGCCAATAGCCAACTTCACCTCATGCTTTCCATTGTAACATGCTGTTATCAGTTGCTAATAACTTTATCTCTCTCAAAGGGCTGAAAGGCAAATTCTTTTCTCTAGCTCTCCTTTTGGCTCTTACACAGTTTTTCTGTTGTTTCTATTTTCAGAACATTTTATCAAAGTCTGTTTGTATAGCCAGTGCTAACATGATTTTTTTTTTCAGCTTGATCATGTGAAGAATTTTAATCCTTCCATGGACTGGCTAGAAACTTTAAATTTATTAAGAGTTCAAGAGCAAACTGTAGCTGTAGAATCACGAAGCCTCCATTCTGCTAATCCTCATGGCAAGTCAATGAAGCTGGGATTAATCAGGCTCTGAAATGTGCTATTTGCAGATGTTCAGCAGAGCTTATGAGAGGCTTGCTGGAAAATCTCTGCAAGCCACAAACCAGAACAACATTGTCCCAGGTGACGCCTCTCTTGGCCAGCAGCTCTGCACAGGTCTTTAGTGTCTTCCAACAAGTGAGGTCTGAGAAGTTCTCTAGTTCTGCACCAGCAAAACTGCAGATGGGCTTTTGATTATTTGCTTCACTGATGTGGTTCTGTCTGCAATGTCTAACCCAGTGGTATCCATCTAAAGATAGGGACTCAGCTTGTGGATCAGGACACCTACACTTTGTAGACACCTACACTTGTGGATTTGTTGACTTGCTCTCCACACTCCGTGGACTGTACTGCCTAGATCCACACAGCACCCAAGTAGAGGCCTAAATTTAAGTATCACAGGCTGTAAATTGATGCTTAGCCAAGCTGTTCTTACTGAATCATAGAGTGATTTGGGTTGGAGGGACCTTAAAGACCATCTAGTTCCAGCCATGGGCAGGGACACCTCCCACTAGGTTTAGCTGTAGTTAAAGTGACACAGTTACTGCCTAGCTAAAAACCTGCACAGTTTGCTGAAAGAGCTCTCCGTGGGTTAACTCTTCCCAAAAGGCAGAGAAATAGAGGGTGAAGAAGGTAGATTTGGATTAAATATAAGGAAGACACTTTTTTTACACTAAGGGTGGTGAGACCCTGGCAAAAGTTGCCTAAAGAAGTTGTGGATGTCCCATCCCTGGAAGTGTTCAAGGCCAGCTTGGCCAGGACTCTGAGCAACCTGCTCTAGTTGCAGATGTCCCTGCCTGGTGCAAGGGGATTGGACCAGATGACCTTTAAAGGTCCCTTCCAACCCAAACTATTCTATGATCCATTCTACGATCCTGCACCAAGCAAGTCCTCTATAGCAGAGAAAGGTGGAGGATGAAATGAAGGCAATGGAGAGGAGAATGTGTCTGAGGAGCAGTGACCCAGCTGGAGTGGAGTAGCACAGGACCTTGCAGGCACCACAGGAGGGAGGAAAGGCCAAGCACTTCCTGTGGGACAGGAGACAGGAGCTTCAGGAGGATGGGACCCCCTGGGCTGGAGGTGGCTCCCAAGTCTATTTTTAATTATGCCTATGCTCTCTGATCACTGATGGTTCCTTGGTGCTGCTCCTATCAGCATAGGTGGGACCTGTTTGTCTCTGCCACCACCCACAGCAGACAGATCACAGCCACTGAGCCCAGAAAACCACAGAGTTCATGGGACAATGAGAGTTTGGTCGTTTTTATGGTTCACTGCCAGTACCCACAACTATTCCTGCAACTGTCACCCTTGGTGGACCACACAACTGCAGAGGAGTGTCACACTGAATGGTGTCACCTACACCATGCAGATCCACCCTGCAGCAAGGGGCTTGTGCACCCTGCCCCAGGGGTGAGAACTGAGCCAGGCAGGATGGAACCTGGAATGCCACCACCTAAGGACCACGCGTGGTTGGGTTTCAGCAAGTTACTCCTTGATGTCTGGCAGAGAGGCTGTCACCCTTCTGCCCCAAAGGAATTAAGTAGCCACCAGTCCCTGGGCTGTCCCCAGAGAAGTGAACCCTAAAATTGAGTCAACGGGGTTCTTTAGGAGTTTTAGGGAAGAAAAATGTCATAGGGCAAGTAAGAAACATCTACTGCCCCTGCATCTGGAACTGCACTTCCAGTGCTCAGGGAGAGCCCCGGTGATCTCTGAGCTTCAGATGTTTCTGTCTCAGGCTTGTTCAAGGTCCAGGTGAGACTGAGGTCAGTGGGGAGACTCCTGAGAGCAGAGAGTTTGGGGTCAAGCAGCACAGGCTCGTGGTTGGGTGAGTAAGATGAAAGCAGGGAGGGAAGCGTCGGTGTCCACTCACCAGTGGTGAGCACCACGGCACTTAGCTTAGCTGCTTGGCCAGCTCCAGCTGGAAGCAGCATCAGGTCCCCAGGAGCCATGAGAAAACACCACATCTCCCCCACAAACGTGGGGACAACCTCTAGGTCTTCAGCACGGTTGGGTCCTGGTGAAGGCTGGAACTCAGCCCTTGAGCAGAGTCTTTGGCTGTCCCCTCCGTGACCTGAGTGACACAGGCACTCCCCGGGCAGCACGGGGGACCAGCCCTGGGGATGACTCCTCCTCACCTTCCCCCACCTCACGGCTGCTCTCCCCACAGGTATGCCAGAAGGCAGGTGAGATCTCCCTGCTCAAACAGCAGCTGAAGGACTCCCAAGCAGACGTCTCCCAGAAGCTGAACGAGATCGTGGGACTGCGGACGCAGCTGAAGGAAGGCAAGAACTTCCTGAGGGAGAAGGAGGAGCAGATCCTCAACCTGAAGGACTCCTACAGCTCCAAGAGCGTCAACCTGGAGATCTGCGAGGGCGAGCTGCAGCGGAAGATGAGCGAGGTCCAGGTGCTGAGGGAAAAACTCAACCACTGTGAGCTGGAGGTCTCCGGCCTGAAGCGGACACTTGCCAGCATGGCACCTCCGGGACCTTTTGGCGGGGACCTGGGGGAGAAGCTGCGGGACCCGTTGGCCTGTGAGAGCGACGAGGCCAAGATGCAGAGGCAGAGCGAGGACAACGTCCAGACGCTGCGGAAGGAGCTGGAGAGGCTCCAGACCGAGCTGAAGCTGGAGAGGCAGCAGCGGGAGCAGCAGGTGATGGACTTCGAGGAGGAGCGGCGCACGTGGCAAGAGGAGAAGGAGAAAGTCATCAAGTACCAGAAGCAGCTGCAGCTGAACTACGTGGAGATGTACCAGAAGAACCAGCTGCTGGAGCACAAGGTGAACGAGCTGAACACCAAGGCCGCCAGCCCCCCGCACGCCGAGGAGAAGAAACCCTGGACTCCCTCCAGACTCGAGCGAATAGAGTCCACCGAGATCTGAGGTGGCACCACGACGAGATGTTTTTAATTGCTGTGCATGTTCTACCTACTCAAGCCAGTGATCTTCCGAAGGATAACGTGCTACCATAGGAGCGGGGCGAGCCCAGCCCACCCCGAGCTCCCTCACCCTTCCTCTGTACTTCTGTGCTCTGTGGGTGAAATAACCCTGGGTGTGCGTTGGGTTTCTATCAATGAGGCAACAGCTCTTTGGGGTTGGGTGTATTTCGTGAGGGTCAACGGACTCTTTTGTAATCTGCCGTGACTGTTACTTCGCCAGAGGCTGCCACCCCCTCTCCCACGACTCGCCCCTCCTTGGTTGGTTGTTTTTGGAGGGTTGTGCTCGGTTTCTTTGGTTCTCCAAGCGTTTCCGGGCAGCAAAACAGTTCCAAGAGGCAGGTTTGGTTCTTTGTTTGGGTTTTTTTCAGGGTGTTTTTTAGCCACATTGGCTAATGGAGCGAAGCAAGCTCGCTGTTCTGTGTCAAGTACCCTGTCTAGACGGTGGTCTTAGTGAAGTCAGTGGGGGGCTGACCACTGATTTCAGTGAAACCAGACATATCTCTACAAGATGACTCCCTCTTGCCAGTTGGCTACCACGGTTGCAAGAGGCTAGGACATCCCTGAGGAGCAGGATGAGCCTGTCCTGGTAACAGAAGCCAACAAGGAATGATTGCCTCTTTGGAGGCTCAGCAGAGCTTAACTTATGCCGTGTATTCATTTGGTTGTGGTTTCCTTCTGCAGTTCCACTCCTCTCTTGGGTTCTGACCAACCCTGGGAGCAGAAATACCCTCCCACCTCTACTAGTCCCCCTGTTCTTACCGTGTAATCAAGCTGGCTAAAGCAAGAACAAAAACTTGGAGATCCAAGCCACTTTCCCTTCCCAAGAGCCCTCTCACTTCCCAAAGTCAACAGAACGAAGGTTTGGGGAAGCCTCCAAGCCTGCAGGATGTTTCTGCAAACCGAAGCTTTAGCAATTTGCCCCGCAGTGGGCAACTGTGCGACCCCCTTCCCAAACGAGTGATGCTTTGCTGCACTATCTCTGCCCAGGGTCTACTTAAAAACTGGCACCTGAGCCCCACTCAGGAGCTGCAGTGAGCACACGCCAGCTTTACCACCAGATCTCAACGGGGCAAGCGTTAGCCCCCAGTATGGGCACTCCAGACAGCACCCACAGCGATGCCACGTGGTGCCACCTGCTCCAGGGACAGAGGGAACGCAGGCCTAGCTTAAGAAACTACTCAGCCACCAACTCAGAGCATGAAAGCTGTGATAAGAAAGGGAAATGCTTCAGATCACTCAAGTGCTTATGCCCTGGCAGAACAATAACCACTTCCTATATGCACAGGCCACAGAGAATGGAGCAGGGGTCAAAAAACCAGCACTCAGCTTGGAAAGGTGGGCAAAGTGGCCTTGGTTCTCCTTTTCATGGACACTTTGTACTGTGGTTCACAGGAAAGAGAAAAACAAACTGTAGCAAAGTGGGGGTTGCACTGAGGAGGCAGTGGCCAAGGGATCAACAACGCAAGTGGGAGTTTTGGCTCGTTGTCCCAGGGAGCAGTTAGAAGAACAAAGCCAAAATTATCACTGGGACGTCTTGGTATGTCTGTGAGGTGACTCCAGGGAGAGTTTGGCCAGATAACATTTCACGTACATACCAAGGAAGAACCTCAGGGTATTGAGGGGCTGAAGACCTCCCAAACAAAAGCCCTGAAGATACGCTTTTCCCATGTTCCCTTCCCCAAAAGCTCCCCATCTCCATCACCAGAAGCTCCCCATCTCCATCACCAGGTCTGATCTTCCAGTTGGGAAAAAATGTTGTTGTGGTGATCTCCAGACTGAGCAAAGAGGCTGAGCAGGAGAGAGGAGACTTGAGGTAGTCCCACCAACCTCCAGCCAAGGTCAACAGACAGTATTACTGGGCAGAACAGTTGCTGGCTGGCAACTGGAAACAGAAAATGGAGACATGCAATGAGACCAGGGCATCTGAAGATCCCAGCTGACAATACCTGTCTTTTCCCACCACTTCTTCCTGTGCTTTGGGGCTGGAGGAAGACATAACTCACCAGTCTGGAAAACAGCTCAGGATAAGCCCCTCTCCCAGGACCAGCCATAGAAGGAGGAACTAGACCAGGTCTGACCCTTGAAGGGTGTGGAGAAGAGCCCCACTACAAAGCCTGCAGATGCTCCAGTGCTCATGGACATCCACCCACACACCCCACCACGGAAAGCGTGCAGCTGCCTCCCGCTGCCTCCCGGTGCCACCCAGCAGCAGAGTCCACCATGCCAGGGGAGATACCTACACGTGCTGTGCAGACTTCCACTTGGCCAGGCAAATCCTAGAGCTTCCTCCATTTCATACCCTGGGCCTTCGAGATGGAACCAAGCATCTCACAATGCCAGGGCTGGAGATCTGGTGTGTTGTGTCATCTCAGCTCTCTGTGCTTCTCTTTCCACATCAGACCAACCCGTGCTGTCTTCCTTCCCAAAGCAGCTGTGAGGCATCTGTGCTTGTGAAGGGATTTACAGCCCTAGGGCAAGAGGACAAAGCATAAATAAATTGCAAGATGCTTGGACTCAGATGGTCTACGTTGTTTTTGAGGCCACCACATGAAAAGCAAACCTAAGAGCAAGTGCTCTCACCACAAAATGGGTCCAATAACCTGGAGGGCCATTCCCAGTTTTGCTCCTCCTCACCCCACTGATGTTGAGGTTGGTTTCCCACTAACCATCTCAGAAAACAACCTTTCAGTCAGCAGCTCAAGGGCACCCGGAGTTTCCAGGATGTGCTGTTGAGGAGGTGTCCACTGCAGTTCCTCAGGAACACTCCAGAGGAACAGACACCAGCATCACTCTGTGGGACACCTTCTCACCAGAGCTCCTTGCTGATCCACGGGAAGGAGAAGCAGAGGTTTGTCTGGCCTCCTCACATACCTGGATCCAGTCAGCAGCAGTCAGCCAAGCCCTCCACTGTTCCATGTTTTCTCCACCATCTTTTTCCTAGACCCTTTTTTTGCAGTGGTGCCAGTGTGTCTTGATGGACCCAGTGCAACCTGGAGGCATTTGGGTTTGTCTGACTGCTGGAGGGTGCTGGGCTGCCCAGGGGCTCCGTGGCCTCACAGTGCATCCAGCAGGGACTGCAGAGCTCCTGGGGATGGGGCAGGAGTGGCAAGGAGAGATTTCTCACCTTGGAGGAGAAAAGGAACATTCCCTTCACCTTCTTCTTCACGCCGCATCGCATTGCTCTAGAGCTTCAATCCCAACCTGAGCAACCTCAGTTGTGGCCATTCCCTGGATGGCAGAGAGCCTTGCAGATGTTGTGCTGCTGGTGGTGCTCCTCCTCTCTTGGGATTCACCCAGCATCCCCCAAGCACTCAGCTGCCCTGCAGGAACCACCCCTCCGTGCTACGGTGACACAAAATACAGATGTTTTTGGCAAGTGCCTCCTCAGCCAAACTTCTACAAAGGACCCCTGTTCTTCAGGAATCCTCCCTACAACTGGATGCACTGCTTCCCACCCTCTGCTCTGCCATGTGCTAGGACTATGTGGCCACATGGTGGCAACTAGTCTTGGAGGTGACTGCTCAGTTAAGAGGGAGCAAAAGGACCGTGGGATACTTGAGTTCCTGTTGTTTGTGCTCAGGTCTGGCTCAGATGGGATCTCACCTGGCTCCTTCCAGATCTTAACACTTTTATCTGCTGACTGGCTCAAGTCTCCCATCACACTAGGTCTGCATTGAGGCCTTGGGGTCTTAGCCTTGGAGTAAGATAGCCAAGGGGTGCCAGACTGGTGTTTTGATGACACTCCCTGGGGGTGACCAAGGACGTTGAACCTCTTGCCACTCGGAGGCTGAAGCAGGGCTGAAAAAATTGTTTCTGTGACATGAAACTCAACACAGAGTTTGGGCTTGACCCTAACCCAGCTGGTTCCTCCACCTTTGCTCAGCCAGCTCTGGAGCTGATGGGATTCAGCGTGATGTACTGGCTCACGTGTGGTTCTTCAAGTACTGCCCTCAAAATCTTGCACGTGGTTAGTGTCTCTCCTGAAACAAGAAGTCATCTCCAACTGGCCGTCGACCGAGAGCAGCAGCTGTGGTCACAAGTGGCTCAGCTCAGTTGCTCACACATTAGAGATGCTCTGGGATACTCGACATTTGGGGCTGTCCCATATGACCCAAGACCTATGGGAGAGCCAGGCCAGTGGTGGGAAGATGTGGAGCACCTCTAGTGGCACATCACCCACGTGTGGGCAGCCTGCTCCAGGCACATCCACGTGGCCATCAGATGAGCAAACAGAGGACACTGATCAGCTCCAGAAATTTCCATCCATGAGGATTTGGGCTCAGCAGGCTACCCTAGTGCCAGGGAAGATCTAAGGAGCTCCTCTACCCCTTCTGAGCAGGGCTGCTTGGTTCCACCACCATTTTGAGGCTGGTTGCTGTCACTGTAAGATGTCAGCTAGGCTGGACGAGTTCCCATCAAGCAGTCAGCACTCCTGTCTCACCCTGGGAGTGAACATCAAAACCATTGCACGTTGTTGTGCTTCACACAGTCCCACTGAGCTTCTGCCACTGTCTTCTGCCATCCCTGCTGTCACCTGCTGCTACATTGCAGAGAGACATGTGTACTTGGGTGTCAACACCAGCCCAGCTCTCTACATACTCTGATTAAATGAAGAGGCAAGAAAGCTCTGTGGCTTCTCCATGGCTGAGAGGGACCAACTCTAGTGGCCAACGCTGCATCTGAGCGCTGAGTGGAGGGTGCTGAGCACCCCCTGAGCTTTTGCTGGCTGTGGTGGAAAGGGGTGAGGACCTCAGCACCTCCCAGGAAGACAATCTGCTTGGGATGGGCTCCGACAGAGCAGCCTGGTGTCATTCTGCCCTGCTTTGATGCCTGCCATCATCCTGAGCCAGGATTGTTGTCCCCTGGTTAAGGCTGAAGTCTCCTCTGCCCATCCTTGTGTCCCCCCAAAACTCCTTGCAGACAGTGGCTGCAAGTCCCCTTGAG